CCCATAGAACAAAGACACAACTGACAGGTGAGACCCACAGGTGGAAAAAGCTTTATACTTCCCACCTGCTGATGGCATTCTCAAAACAGAGGATACTATCTGAGTATAAGAGAAAATGATTCCACACAGAGGAATACCACCAAATATGCTAGTTGCAAAATATATCAGGATGTTATTGATGAGGGTGTCAAAACATGCAAGCTTGATGACCTGAACAACCTCACAGAAGAAGAGAGGGATTTCAAGGTTTGTGCAGAAGGTCAGCTGCAATACCATCAGACTGTGCATCAGGGCATCCACAATGATAATGAAGAGGGGGAGTAGAATCAAGAGGCCACAGAGGCGGGAGTTCATGATGACTGTGTACCTCAGTGGATGACAAATGGCCACATAGCGGTCATAGGCCATTACTGCAAGAAGACTACTTTCTAAACTTGCAAAAACCAGGATAAAGCAGATCTGGGTGAGGCAGCCTGTATAAGTGATGCTTTGATTCTGTGTTTGGATGTTCACCATCATCTCTGGGATGGTGGTTGTGCTTAAACAGATATCATTAATAGGTTGGAGAGAAAGAAGTACATGGGGGTGTGGAGGTGGGAGTCAGAGCTGACAGCCAGGATGATGAGCAAGTTTCCCAGGATGGTGGCCAGGTACATGGATAGGAACAGGATGAATAGGGGGAACTGCAGTTTTGGATCCTCTGTCACTCTCATGAGAAGGAAATCTGAAACATGTGTATCATTTCTGGATTCCATATTGTTGATGAATCTGATGGAAAAGATGGAGTCAATCAAATGTGTGTTTTCTAGACCAGGAGGAGGAGCATCACTAGAGGCAAAATCTATCTGGGGATGGGATGGAGACTAACGGAGAGGAGTAAGAGATGGGTGCCTTCTGTATGTATATTATTCTGTTTCTTTAAAAATAATAAAAACCTGAAGCTGATAAAGCAGAGCATCAACAGCTGTGAAGTCTGGAGAGGGTTAACAGGTAGTCATTTTTTTAAATTACACTGTTTTTGATGTTCTGTTTATTTAAAACATTTTGTAATTTTAGGGGCATCTGGGTGGCTCAGTCAGTTAAGTGTCTGACTTCGGCTCAGGTCATGATGTCAGAGTCCTAGGATTGAGCCCCATATCAGGCTTTTCTCTCTCCCTCTCCCTCTGTCCCTCCCCATGCTCATCCTCTCTCTCTCAAATGAATAAATAAAATCCTTTAAAAAAATAAACTAATATATAGAATGTGAACAGCTTGTAATGCTTAATTTCTTTTTTTATTATTTTTTATTACGTTATATTAGTCACCATACAGTACATCATTAGTTTTTGCTTAATTTCTTGATCAGACATAGTAGCTATGTGGGTTTATTCCACTTTAAGAAAATTCATTAATTAGTGCACCTTTCTTTGTGTTTGTTACACTTCAATAAAAATGTTTACTTCTGAAAAAAATAAAACATTTGGTAATTTTATAAAAAGAAACAGACTGGGAAGGCACCTGAAGATTCTGTCTGGGGGGCACCTGGGTGGCGCAGTCGGTTAAGCATCCAACTCTTGGTTTCAGCTCAGATCATGAACTCAGGGTTGTGAGATCATGCCCTGCTTTGGGTCCATGTGAGACACTATGAATGCCAGGCAGGGAGCTGTTTCTCAGCTGTGGTGCTGAAAATAAAACCATCACTCAACCTCCAATAACAACAGAAGGTTCTCCAGCAACTCCTTTGATTCTCCTGAGACCTCCACTGTTTAACCCTTTCCCAGAAGAGGTGATTCTAACTTATGGACCTTCTTTTCTGCGTTTATGGGGAAAGTAATGCTCCCAATATTGACAATTTCCCTTTTCTCCACTCTTGTACTCAATATCTCCTTGTCTAAAAAATAGATAGATAAATAAATAAATAAATAAATCTTAAAAAAAGAAAGATTCTGTCTGGATCTCTAGAGACTTCAGAGGCAGACAACTGAGATAAT